TTTTCTTCTTCTCCTGGAACTCCTATGATATGGATGCTGTTATGTTTTATATTGTCCCACATTTTTTTTTAGGCTGTCTTCCTGTTTTAATTGATTTTTCTTTTTGGTTCTTTGATTGAGCTATTGTTTTCTACCCTGTCTTCTAATTCACTGATCCAATCCTTGGCCTCCTCTACTCTGCTGGTTATTCCTTCCAATGTGTTCTTTATTTCTGCTATGTCATTCTTCATTTTCAATTGGTTGGTTTTCAATGTTTCTATATCTTTTCTCATGTTGTTGAGCTCTTTACTCATGCTGTTGAGTTTCCTTATTATCATCACTCTGAACTCTACCTCTGATAACTTGCTTAACTGCACTTCTTTGATCTCTTCTTGGTACAGTTCTCTTGTTCTTTAATTTGGGATTTGTCTTTTTGTTTCACCATTTTGGCTGTGTCAGTGGATTTTAAAGCCTGCCAAATTTTCCCTGTGGGTGTTGGTGTTCTGCTGTTTGTGGTTCCCTCTACTAGGTTTGGATGAGTGTGGGAGGACCCACATTAAACACCACTGTCAAGTCTTTCTTTCCTGAGTAGATTTGCATGACCAGGAAAGGTTTAGTTATCCTCTATATTTTTGCCTGGAGGCTATTAGTCTCAGTTACTTGATGAGCTTTGGGTTGTAGCCCTCACCTGAATGAAAAAAATCCCTCAGGTGTTCAGGGTAAGAGTATTTCCAGCCATTGGGGTACATGTTTGCTGGCTGTTAATGAGGCTCAGTTTGCATTTCTCTGGCCTGGCCAGGTGGTTTTAAATTCCTGAGGGAGTTGCTGTTGCTTCTCCCTGAGGCTCTGGGAAGGGGCTCTTTGAGTAAAATGGCTATTGTCTTATGAGGGAGTGATTCAGCACAAAACTCCCAGTGCCCTCCAACTCCTGAGTGTCCATCCACTTCCAGTCTAGTCTGCCCTCCCTCTGCCAGAGCCCAAGGTGAGTGGCTGTAGCTAATTTAGTGCTCTGTCCAGTCCTCTGTGCTATGGAGCTGGCTTGGTACTTTACCCCAACGGAGCTGCTCACAGCCAAAACAGCTGCTGTTGTGGACTCCCAGCCTGCCCTCTCACACCTCAGCAGTTCCTACTGGGCTCAATTCAGTGTCTTTTTTCTGTCCCTGGTTATATGGGTTCTCTCCAGCTGCTTTTCTGTTGATTTTTTCCCAATTATTTGTGTTTATTTTAGTTGTAATTCCAGTTTGGTCCTGTGAGATGGTCTGTGTAGCTTCCATTCACTCTGCTGCCATTTTTCCAGATATCTTCTGTTTGCCCCTGCAGATCCACTCTTCAGCTTTTCCACCCTGCTCTCTGCCCCTAAAGCTCATCTACAGACCACATCAAAAGGCCCCTTGCCTCTGATTTCCACAGAGTTGAGCTAATTGCCTGTCTTAGCAGGAGACTGGAGGGAGGAAAGTGAAGGTAGACCATCTATTTCCCTAGTTCTCTTCTGCAGGATCACTCCAGGTTGGCTAAGTCCTTAACAGAGGTCATTACTCTTCTCTGAAGGTGACTTTGTCCTTAGAAGTCTCCTAGGTTCTCTACTGAATAAATCTTGATGTCAACCAAACACCACATTTTTCAAAAATGCAACTGCAATTCAATTTTTAGTTAAGCAACTACTAGAAAATGTAAAAAATAGAACATATCCTATTACATACAGATATTATCAGACGTTAAGACATTTTCTAGGTTTTGACTTCTTTAATTAAAGAATTAAGGAACTGGTACTAATTCTACCTAAAGTTCCTTAGAGCTACAAAATTAATTCATTCTATCCAAGTGTGGGTGAAAAGGGGCCACATACTAAACCTGACAAGCTCAGGGGAGGCCTACATGGTGTCATTACAAACTCAAAGGCCTAAAATAACCACAAGGGATCACCTGAAATTAAAATTTTTTAACTAAAAGCAGTTTATAGCATGTAGTCATGTCCTAGGCTGGCTTCCCTAACAAAGGTCAACTTTCACCTTAATTGAACCTATTGTCTTTTTGCATCTATGATAATAAAAGAGGTAACTTCCCTTTTTCCAGACCCCTCAGGGCACAACCAATGCACCAAGGCTGAGACCACAAATCCCCTCATTGTTATTATTATCATAGTAATTGTTGACTGTTAACTATCTTAAGCCCACCTATGCAAAAAATGTATATGTTTATCATTTTACTTTTTATCCAATCCCAGAGGCCACCCCTGCTTTCCCCTGCCATCCTAATTTGTCACCAGGGGATTTCATGTAACCCACTCACATCTCCTCCTTTGATTATAATGTATAAAATGAGTTGCAAAACTGCCATTCTTCAGAGCATTGTCTCAATCCATTGAGGGTGTTTTTTTTTACCAGCAATTGTCAACAGTTTTGACTCAAAATAAACTCACAAAAATTCTTCACAGGTTTGAATGTTTCTTACTTTGACATTTACTTGTCATAGTGCAGCAGGATTTTAAAGAAGCTCACCTAGGACCACCCAGCAGACTCCCACCTGGTGCTAGGATCCAGCAAGGGACCCATTGAGCACTGCTTGGTCCCCACCACACCCGGTGAACTGGAATGAGTTGTCTCTTGGATCCAGGACCTTTCCTTGCTTGTGGTAGAGGGTCTGACTTTATTTGAGCTGTATTTTTTTTTCTTTATTGATTTTGGAGAGGGAGAGAGTGATAGAAACATCAATGAGAGAGAACATTGACTGACTACCTTCTGCATGTCCCCACTGGGGATTGGGCCCACAACCTGGGCATGTGCCCTGGCCAGGAATCAAACCAGTGACTTCTTAGTGCCTGGGTCGACGCTCAACCACTGAGCCACATTGGCCAGGCTTGAGCTGTATTTTTACATTTTCAAGGTTAAAGGTTGACAGAACCCAGGCTAAGGTGAGACAGGAGAAAAAATGGGTGACTGGTTTTGGCTTCAGCTTTTCAGCTGGAATTGCTTTATGAGAGTCTGAGCAAAAACACCTTTGCTCTATAAATGAGAGCTAAACTCATTCAACTCCAGAGACAAGGGGCAAGTCCTTTTTCCAGCCCAAATCTCTGGTGTTCTTAGGTAACGAAGAATCTTTGTGGAGGTGTCAGAGGTCCTTCCTTATGACATGCAGGAGTCCCATAGGGAAATTGCAACTCATCCGTAGTTAACTGACTGGCTCATCCATGGGAGCACCCATAGGGTTGGTCAACCCACACCCTGAGCCCTGCTGGTTGTTTTAGACAACCTGGAGAGAAACTGAGACATGTAAGAGGGTCGAGTGTGACTCGAGGGGTAAGAGCCTTGAAGCAGTACACTTCAACCTACAACATAACGCCCCTAGAAAATTTGCTCAGACTCTGCAGATATCCAAAGAAAGACTAAAATTACAATGGAAAATTGCACCTTTAAGGCCGATGAACCCCAAGAATCCCAGCCCCCCATTAATACTCCAACAGGGTACATGTACAATTTATATGGAATCTCAGCTTGCAAGTATCTACAGAAATGGGAAAATTTAACTAAAAATACCAGCTTGGATGGAATCTTGCAAAACAAAATCAGACCCAAGTGGGTCAGAACTCTTTTTCCTAATCCCCGACAGAATGCGTGGAACCTTGAGAAGTAAATCCCTTCCGAGGGATCAAGTGGAGGAAACCTTAAGTGGGAGCGCAGAACGGCGGCTGGAGGGGGGCGGCGGTCTGGGTGAAGGGGGAGAGGGCAGCGGTGGGTGAGGAGGGGCGGCTGCTGCGCCCTCACAGGGCGGATCCCTGCGTTCAACCATGTGTGGGAAGGCTTGGCGGGGAGGAGAACTGAATTCTCTACGTGCACAACAAATACTGGCCCAGCCACGTCCACTGCCTCGACTGGCCGGTTACCTCTACCGCCCGCCCACGTGGCGGCGCCCGCGCCCGGCAGCAGCGGCTCCTCTGTGGCTGCCGCTCCGGCCTCCATTGAGGGCCCAGGTCGAGCTCTTGGCTGCCAGCCCCCCCACCCCCAAGGCTAAGGCTCCCCAGCAGTCACTGCCCTGCCCTGGCCCTGCTGGCTGCCAGCCCCCCACCCCCAAGGCTAAGTCTCCCCAGCAGGCACTGCCCTGCCCTGGCCCTGCTGGCTGCCAGCTCCGCCCGCCCGGCCCTTCACACCTGTGGCTTCTCTCAGTTTCTGCGGGTCAGGGGTGCCCTGCTCATGGTCTCACACAAAGGAAATCCAGCGATGAGCTGGGCTGTGTTCTCATTTGCAGGGCTGACGGGGGCAGAAACCACTTCAAAATTCACTCACCTTGTGCTTACAGGCAGCAAGACAGCAGGGAGCCTCAAAGCCAGGTCAGTAACCTACATGTGGACCTACCTGGGCTCCAACGTGTCTCAAAATAGACAGGTCAGACCTGGGAGTGAGACACCTTTCTGGGCACAGTCAGACCCAGTGCATCGCTTCCCCCGAACCGTATTCCCACCCTGGCCACACACGTCCTCCCCCTAGTAGGACTCACTGAGGGTTATTCAGTCCACGCGGGAGGCTCAAGTGAGGTAGCAAGACTGGGCCCGCACCTAGGAGCTTGGGGCATCTGCCCCGCAAGTCGCACTGAGGGTTTTCCCCTGGAGGGGAATTATCTTCTCTTTATTTACAACTAATACTGGGGAGGCAGAGCACAAGTCAGTCAGGCCCCCTGACTCTTTACAGCTCATTGCTGTAAGACAATGGAAGCTCGTCTTGATTTAAAGGTACTGGAAGAACGAAGTAGCAAGTTCGAAGTCACCGGCTTCTGGTGAGAACCAAGTTAGATACCCAGATACCGCGTTTGAAAGAACAATGAATGCTCTCAAGTGCATCCCTTCCACCCCACAGTGAGACACCCTGAGCCTGGCTCTAGAGGGAACAAACAAGAACAACGAATGTTTATTTATGGAGGAGGAAAGCAAAGAAGGTTAGCAGAAGGAAGCGCTCCCCGGACACAATATTTAGAGGAACACAACTTCCTAGTGTGAAGGAGGAAAGCCCCTCAGTAAGAACTTCTGAACCTCAGTCAAGCCAAAACTTAGCACCTGAACGCCCCTTTAACAGGTAATGATGGATACTGTACATGAAGAAACTGGAGCAGAAGAGGATGATCGTGAAGGACAAGGTGATGAGGGTGTAGATGGACATCCGCTTCTCCATGGTCCCCCTGATGAGACAGAGATGGGATCCGGGGCAGCTATCAGTTCTGCAGTGGATGATGGTTTGGCTCAGCAGTGGCAGGTGTTGGTACATGAGGAAGAACAAGAGCACGCACTGTGTGCCAACCTGCAGGAGGAAGTAAAGGAGGTACAAAAGCAAAAGCACCTTCTCCCGGTGGAAGTTGAGGGTGGACTTCTTCGGAGAGGGGACGTGCTCCTGGATCCCCACCATGGAGCCCTCCTCCACTTCAGCTGCCACTGACTCCACTGACTTGACCTTGATCTGTTTATGCCGAATCTGGGCCATGAAGAATTCCATGAGGAAGAAGAGGGCTAGGAAGATAAAGAAAAAGAAGTACCAAATCCCCACGACAGGACTGCTAAAACTTTTCTCAAAACACTCAATCAAGCAAGGATAGGTGATGTTGCCGTGGCACCAGAAATCTTCCTGGATGGAGGCCCAGGGCATGCGGACCACGTACACCACCACTCCATACACGGCAATGAAGCCAAACCACAGCTGCCGCCCGATGTAGTAGCCAGATTTGTCACCGGCCACGGAGTGGAGCACAGGGATCAGTCCTGCCACCGCGGCTGCAGCCATCTGCTCAGCTCCTCAGAGGACGGCGGAATCGACCAGGAGAGCTCCGAGCAAGCCTCGGGAGGGAAGGAGAGGGGGCATCAGAACGGGAGAGCAGGTACCAAGAATCCCACCCACACCTGAAAAGCCTGCTCAAGTTTTAGCTCCGCCACCAGCACTCAGTTTCCTGTCTCTACACACGAGCAGTGTTCGTGCACCCCTGGGGTGGTTATTCCTTCCTCCACGGTTCAGCCTATGTGCAAGGCTGTCCACCTCGTATCTGGTGTGTATGTCTCGCCCCTCCCCTAGGTAGACGGTAAGCTTCTGGAGGTCAGGAGTCAAACTGGGTTCACATCTACCCACCACAGACCGTTACGTATAATAAGGACCTGACTAGACTTTCCAGGAATAAAAGAAGGAACAAATAAATGAACGTAATAGTTCTGGCTGTGTCTGGCTGCTCGGGAAGCTCTGTGGCAATCTCTACAACTGCGTCTTTGCCAGGAAGTTTCCCAAGACTACGGAGACAACGAGAACATTCCCTGTTCTTTCTTGCACATGACTTCTGTTCTATCCACAACTCTTCAGAGGGTGCCTGTCACCGTACTATACTTATTATGATAATAAGATCATTGATCACAGCCTGCCGGTGTGGCTCAGTGGATTGAGCGTTATCCTGTGGACCAACAGGTCCAGGTTCAATTGCCGGTCAGGGCACATGCCGGGTTGTGGGCCTGATCCCCGGTGTGGGGTGTGCAGGAAGGAGCCGATCGATGTTTCTATCTCTCCCTTCTTTTCTCCAAAAAGTCAATAAAAACCATATTTGGAAAAAAACACAAAATACCGGTCACATATTGACTGCCTATATACAGCAAGCCTGTGCTGGTAGTTTCGATACATAAACTTTATAGAAGGTTGAAACATTTTAAATATTTTCATTAGCTCAATTTGAGTAATTGAGAGTGTCCTCTCTTATACATGATAGTGACCAATCACTTAACCTAAGGTTTAGGGTACTGAATAAATGCTGTGGGTATTTTATGTGGTACATTCAACGTAACACAACATTTACCATTTTGACTGTGTGAGTGTGGCACAAAGACTTCACACTGCTGTGCGGCCGTCACCACCATCATCTCCAGAGCCTTCTTAGCGTCCTGAACTGAACTCTGTACCCATTAAATAATATCTCCCCCCTCGGTCCAGCCCCGGCAGCCACCATTCTCCTTCCCATCTGTATGAATCCGACTACTCGGAGAAGAATCATGCACATTTGTTTTTTTGTGTCTGGCCTACATCACTTAGCATAATGTTTTATCCAACTTGTAGCCCGTGTCAAAATTTTCCTTTTTTATGGCTGAATCATAGTCCATTGTATGGATATACCACCTTTTGGCTATCCGTCCATTCGTTGATGGACATTTGGGTTTTTTTGCCTTTTGGTGATTGTGAATAAAGCTATTGTGAACATGTGTGTACAGAAATGTTTGAGTCCCTGCAAGTATGTTTGAGTTTCTTCTTCGGAGTATGTAACCAGAAGTGGAATTGCTGGGTAATATGGTAAACCTGTGTTTAATTTTCGGAGTAGCCACACAATTTTCCACAGTGACTGCCATTTTACATTTCTATAAGCAGTGCAGGAGGGTTCTCATTTCTCCACACCCTTACCAACACTTGTTATTTTCTAGGTTTTCTTTTAAATGCTTTGGGTTCTCTTTGGGTTTTTATTGCAAAATTATCATAGCTAGTGCTTAAAACTCTTTAAAAGCTACCTGAGACTCAGCGATCTTTCTAATGACCTCGAGTATCAGGTCACATTTGCATAGAGCATCCCAGAGTGAGCTGGCAGGTGCAGGACCGCCCAGCCAGCCTGCCAAGGAGGGCAGGTGATCGAGGACAAGAACCAAAGGAGCAGGTGGAGACGATGGGGAAACAATACATATATCCAGCACTCGGCTATCAGCTAACAGGTTCATTATCTCATTTCTTAGAATAACCTGATGAGATAAATATGGTCCATTTCCAGAGAAGAAAACAGATTTAGAATAATTACCTAACTCCTCCACAGTTATACAGCCAAGTAAATGGAGGCACCAGGCTTAGGCACCAGAATTGTCGGACTAGACAGCCTGAGCTTTGGACCTTGCCTGTTTCTAAGCAAGAAAGGGGGAAAGTCACGGTGGGTCCCCCACTCTTACCTGCCAACTGTCTGGAAAATGAATGGCTGGTGTCTAGGCCCACACTCTGCTTTCCTTCCTCTGAGGACAGCTGTGTGGCCGAGTCCCAGTTAGCTCAAATTAAAGAGCCAGATCTCCAATAAAATGGTTGAACGGTGACTAAAAGCCCAGGTTCTCACTGCAGCAGCTGGGTTTCTGCAGGAATGGATCCCGACTGGACCACCTGTGTCCCTGCTCCTGTAGCCACAGCTCTGAAGCCCACTTCTCCCCTCTCCTACTTCAGGCCTCTGCTCCCCTAGAAACCTGCCTTTTGCACCAACTGCTCCAACTCCTTAGAACCTTCCTGCTAGCTGCCCCATTGGCTATGCTACCTGTCTGTCTTCACGGTCTCTACGAATCATTACTCTTGGAAGCAAGTTTGGGAGAAGCTTCAGATCAGGTCTTTCCTACATTAGGAGAGAGGGTTCTATGGCATCAGGAGCCTGCTTTGAAGACTGTTGATATTCCTGAAAATATCTGTCCTTTTCCTTCTGTCTGTTCCTGGGTTCAGATGCCCCAAGAGTCTGAACTTGGAACAAAGTACCAGTAGATTCAACAAGGAGTATCTGGTACCTTTCCCGTTCTTTGCAAACCTCCAACCCTCTCTCCTACACGCTCATCACATTTAAACTAAAACAAAAAACAGAAAACTTTATTTCCCATGTGAGTCGCAGATCCCATCCCAGGCCTTACCAAGGACCCTGCCCCATTAGGCCGCCCCTCTCTCTGAACCCTCAATTTCTGCCTCTCTACAAAGTTATCCATCTGCATCCTATTGCCCCTACCCAGCTTGTCTACTATTCCACACAGGCGAGCTCCTTGAAAGAGTTCGCTGTCTACATGGCTTCTCCACCTCCTCGCCTCTGCTCCACTTTCAACCCACCCCGGTGGGGGTCAGACTCTCTAGCTCCAGACCCATCAGAAGAATGTGCTTGCTTTAAATCAAGCAACAAGAATACCTAATACGACTTTTTGTTTGTTTGTTTGCCTGACATCTCAGAGCTATATGTTCAATTATAGTAATTCTATTAGACTATGTTTATAGTACATTTCTTTTTCTTTCCTAATGTTTTTAATTGTAATTTAACTTTTATGACTTGATACCACAGGTCATACAGTAAGCTACCATAAATTCTTTGGAGCTAAAATTTATAGATAGACAAGAAAAGAAACACCTGCATCAATTTATGTTCAATTCAAAAAGCAATCTCAAAGGAATAATTATGTAACTATGGTTAAAAATGAAAAAATAGTGTGCAGTCATTTGTCTCTAAATTCTCAATGTTGGGCATAAAATAGATCTCAATAAATATTTGTGTGATGTGTGAATGGAAGATATAAAGCCGGGGGGTGGGGGGAGGTGCAAAATTGTATGTGCTCAGTAAACACACTGCTTTACTCTGTGTTTATTATTGACTACTAGAAAATGTATAGAGAAGTGAAAATAGATGAAGCATTGGAATGGTGGAGTTGTATTGAATCTATATCTTTTTTATTTATTTTATTATTATTACAATGAAAAACTGGAGTGAGGATGTGCCAGATCTCTTGGTAATACAGTCTAGTGTTTAATTTTGTGGAAGATGTAGTTTGCATTATCTATTGCTGTGAAGCAAACCATTGCAAAACTTAGTGACTTAAAACAGCAATGACTTACTTATTTCTTTTAAATTGATTTTAGAGAGAGAAGGAAACATCTATATGAGAGAAACATTGATCAGTTGCCTCCCATATGTGCCCCTACCAGGGATCGAACCCATAACTGGGTACGTACCCTGACCAGAATGGAACCACAACCACTGGGTGAATGGGAGGAAGCTCCAACCAACTGAGCCACACAGGCCAGTGTGACATATTTATTTCCAATGACTTAGTGGGTCAGAAGTCTGGGCAGGGCCTAGTTGATCAGCCTTCTGTTGCTGCTGGGATCAGCTGGGCTGCCTCATGTCATGTCAGCAGGCTGAGCTGGAAGGCTTCACTCAGACGTCATGTGCTCAGCTCCCAGCCCCCCCTCAATGCCTGTGCTGCCTTGTCACCCAGTATTCCACCTCCAGCTTCTTTACTGCGGGCAGCTGGCTCCCAGCAAGCATGGAAGCAGAAACTGCTCCTGCCTCTGAGAACTGGCCTGAGGAACCACACAAGGTCGCTTCGCCATCTCAGACCCAAAGAGAGGGAAATAGAGGGAAGAGGCAAGGTCTCACTGAAAAAATTATGCAAGACTAGAGATACTGTTGTTGTCTGAAAAAGTCCACCACTGGGTGCTTAAACAGTGTTTCATTCCCTAAGTTGCAAAGAAACTGGTGAAGGTACCCCTGCTGAGCAGGCAGCCTGGTGTGAGAGACTCTTAAGAATAGCGGTTCAAACCCTGAGTGTTCTTTTTAATTGTCTCAATTGAAATAAATAAAGAAATGAGCAGCAACAGTCAGTCTTGAGCAGACATGAGGATAACTGGAGGCACAGCCAGAGGCGCTAAGCCTAGCTACGTGAGACCTTTACAAGGGGCTGCTAGCCCCATCGTCCCACGATGGTCCCCTAAATCTTTACCACAGTCCGCAGAAGAGACACATTATAAAGTTTGGGTTTATCTTTAAGATAACAGGGAGTCTAGTTCCAGAGACGTGGAAGTAGGGTACAGACTGACAATCCCCAGAAGAGGGGGTGGGGAGGGAAGAGATAAACCACAGAGTTTAAATGCATGTGTGCATGAACAATGGACATGGACAGCAAAGCTGGGATGATGCAGGGAGGGATGGGGAGGAGGGCGGCAATGGGGGGAAAAGAAGAAACATCTGTAACATAAATAAATAA